CCCTGGTAACTACCGCTGCTCAGCGTTGTATACTGTAAATATGACATTAGGTACCGTTGTGCACAGGGAGGGGACGGGCAGTGCATTTCAATGTGGAGCCAGCCAAGGTCGCAATTTAATGTTCTGAATGAGTCGAGCCTTTACAGGGCAGGAGAGGTCACCCAGTTACCGCGGTCACTAAATCACTGGCTGTCTGGCAGAGAAAACAAGTATATGAAACCCCGGCATGAAGTCATATATGTCCAAATGGACAGTGAAAAAAAATAATGGAAATCGGAGTATTGATGAGTCAGAGCAGTGAAAGCCCTCTCAGCAGCTGTTTTATAAGCTTAATTATCAGAGCTCCCAGGGGCTTTTGAAATCCTCGAGTCGGGACTTTGATTAAAAAAAAAAAAGAAGAAGAAGAAGAAATCAAATTAAACCATAAACTTTTTTCTTTAAATTGATGAATATATGAAGTAGTAGAAAGAGCTTGGTTTATAGCAAACACTGCAGAAGAGTTTTGGCTCTGTGCTGCAGTGTGGGCTGTTGATGAAATGGGAAAATCAAAACTGTTTAACTGGGGAAATGCTTTTATAGGTTTATGCTTATAAAACTTCTTTACAGGGCTGCTCCATTACTGAGAGCCTCTTTCATGGCTTAACTGCATGGTTTCATGCACCCACAGCACTTACACATGAAAAAGAGTAATCTGCGGCATTTTTATATAATAGAATATATATTTATAAACAGAAAATTAAGCACAAACCATTTTGATAATAACCATATAAGCTTCTTTTAAAGTAAAAATGTTAAACATTTGCTGGTTTTGGCTTGTCAAATATGAGAATTTGAAGCTTTTCTATGTTTATATCATTGTAAATTGAATTAAAGCTTGAACAATTACTCAATTGATAAATCAATTAATGGAAAATTATGACTTTTTTATATGGTTGAATTACTGAAAATAATCATTTGTTGCCTCACCTTATTGCAAAGCTCTGTCTGTAACTGTGTGCTCCAGTTCAGTGGTATCGAATTACTTCCCAGTCTATCACAACCTGATATAAAAAGATATTCAACCTAAATATAATTATAAAAAAACAATCTTGTGCACAGTAGGTGATCCACTGTATGATGATAAAAACATCAGTTTGACTGGAGTGAATATAGATGGAAGAATTATGATCTGAGCAGTGATAGCTGAACAAAGAAAAGAAGAGAACCGTCAGGAACTTGAGCTTCATCAAAATAAAATACAATGCAATAAATATTATGGTACCAAAGGATCTAAAAAAACATCACAATGACTTCTGAGCTCTAAAGATAATTAAAGCCAAATAAAAATGAAATGATTCTGCAAATGCAGCCTAATTGTTGTAAAAAAATGTTTGCCCTGAACATTACTGCAATTCACGGATATGTTACATTTGTATGTTATCTCATAGCAGATATGTTGAAACTTAACGCATATCAGGTGGTTAGCTTAGGCACAAAAACTACTCGGGTATGGTTGCCAAAAGATCATGTTGTGGGTTAAAACCCCCAGGTTAGGTTGGTCAAATGTCGCTGGGAAATGCCACAAAGTGTTGGTGGAAAACTCTCATGCTCTGTGGCTCAAACACCGCAGGGAAATGCAGCGATGTGTCTGTGGAAAGCAACCAGGTTCCAGGGCTCAAACACCGCAGGGATACGCCGCAATGTGTTTGTGAAAACACACAGGTTCTGTGGCTCAGACGCTGCTGGAAATGTTGTGATGTGTCTGTGAAAAACTCCCAGGCTCTGTGACTCAAACACCTCTGGGAAATGCCGCAATGTGTCTTAAAAACTCCCAGGTTCAGTGTCTCGAACGCTGCTGGAAAAAGACTATGATGTGTCTGTAAAAAACTGCTGGTTCTGTGGCTCAAACACCTCTTGGAAGTGCTACAATGTGTTTGTGAAAGACTCTCAAGTTCTATGGCTCAAACACCACTGGGATATGCTGCAATGTGTCTCTGAAAAACTCCCAGGTTGTGTGGCTCAAACGCCTTTGGGATACGCTGCAATGTTTTGGTGACAAACTCTCATGCTCTGTGGCTCAAACACCCCTGGGAAATGCAACGATGTGTCTGTGAAAAGCAACCAGGTTCCAGGGCTTAAACACTGCTGGGACACGCCGCAATGTGTTTGTGAAAACTCCCAGGCTCTGTGGCTCAAACGCCTCTGGGATATGCCGCAATGTTTTGGGGAAAAACTCCCAGGTTCTGTGGCTCAAATACTGCTGGGATACACCGCAATGTGTTGGTTAAAAACTCCCAGGTTCTGTGGCTCAAACGCTGCTGGGATATGCCGCAATGTGTTGGTGAAAAACTCCCAGGTTGTGTGGCCCGAACACTGCTGGGATACACCGCAGTGCTTTGGAGAAAAATGCCATTAGGAAACGCTGTAGTGTGTCAGTGGAAAAACTCCTAGGTCTGATGCCACAAACACTGGGGGACACAACTGGTTTTGTTGTTTGTTGGTCTTGAACAGTGGTCTGCAGTTTGGTAGGTGTGTCACCCAGGTGACAGGCCATTCACCAGCCCCTCCACCTCTAAAAGCCAAAGTCAGCTTACACGTCATCAAACCTGCAAATGTTATGAATTCGTGGTTTGCAGAAACATACATTGCCAACGTTTTCTTCTGGAGCCTGGGCTGGCAGACGACCACTTTAATGCAACAGTTCAAAAGGCCTTTTTTCACTGGTTAATGTCACAAAGGGGTGACGTCCAAACTCCTAACTCTATAACTCTGTGTCCTCTGTAGCGCAAAATTGTAATTTCTTGCATGTGATGGAACAAGACTTTGAAAGGCATTGAAATGTCCTTGAATATTTTGTCTGAACAAGTGTGGGAAACCTGATAACATTCCACAGAGGGTCAGAGCTGGCTGAGCTGGCCGCGCTGGCACTGACACTGCCACTGGCTCTGCGATTAAGCCATGGGAGCCATTTTGGGGCTGATTATTCATGGTGCTACTGTACTGATGTTCCACTACACTGAATTCTCTCATTAGGTCATCCGGCTCTAAAGGCCATTAAATTTTCAGTCAGCATGAATAAGTCAGAGAGTTCTGCCTCTGATCATGCAGTGCGAAGAGTCCCCAAACTCATCATAGGTGCTCTGCGGAAAAAAAATAAAAAAATAAAAACCCTCTCTTTCAGCACAGGGGTAACATTTGCTCAATTAAATATGTGAGAAGGGCAGGGGTTGGCGGCGGCAAAGTTTTTTTAGATTTAAAGCCTCATATGTGGTGCCAGACAGCATTTCCAGAAGTATCGATCAGAATTTCGCTGTGGGTAAATGACTCCCAATGGGATCTCCTTGGTAACTGGAGCAGTGCCAGGCCACTGAATGTCTAACTGACTTAATGCAGATATAAATCGCCATTCCAATCAAGGCCGTTTTATTTGCGGGCTCGAGCGAGGCTATACGTCACCTGCAGTACCGCACGTTTTCATCAATAAAATCCTGTCAAATCTGCTAAATGCATGCTGCATTGACGACGTATGATTTATAATGTTTCCTTCCAGGGAAGAGTATTTCTCACACAATTGCAGTAAACAGGTAGTTGGCATTTTCGGTCACCGGCTCGCCACAATTACTCATCATTGTTCTGTATTGCCTGTGAGCATTTATTATGCTTTTCAGATCTGGACTCATGCATAATGTGAAAAGGCACGAGCAATTAGCATTAATTAAAAATGAACACCTATTAAAGCTGCTATATCAGCTAATAGCTTAAAAGGATTACACTCCATTGCTTTTCAAAGTAATGTTTAGACTTGTCTGACAACGACTCATTTACAAAGTTAACCACACGCCATGTACTGTAGACCCCTTAATGCAATCAGCTTAAAGATGAAATGAGAATTAACCATCAAGGAGAAACACATATGGAGGAAATGAACTACACACCAGCGAGGTTGTAGGTGAGTTTTTCCCGAGCCCTCTGTGCAACAGAAAACATTTTTATTGGTGTTTGCTGGCAGCCAGAAAATGACCGGGGGAAAACAAAGACGAATGGAGCCATTGACTTCAAACACGACCCCTTGAAAGCACAGCCAGAGCCCTGTCCATCGCCATCTATTATATTCATGAGTGTGACCTGTGGGGGGTGAGATGGGGCTTGAGGGGGAGGTGATGGGTGCCCACCTGCTCTACTCAGCCTCTAAGACACTGCCTGCCAGGAGATCAAACAGGCCTCCTCGCTCCCCTCTGTTCTCCTCCTCTCTCCCCAGCACAGGTCCCATATAGGAGGCGACTGACCCACTTTTCCTCCCTCCCTGTGTTATTACCTGGAGAAAACAGAGTGATGTGGTGTGTGTGTGTGTGTGTGTGTGTGTGTGTGTGTGTGTGTGTGTGTGTGTGTGTGAGTGTGTTGGGTGGGTGGGTTTGCGGGGCTGAACAAAAGCTTCTCATCTTCACTTACTGTACAGAGACAAAGGCGTAACTAGGACTCCAAAGAAAGCATGTCATTTCTTATCAGATACTATTGCACGTGAGATTGTTTCTCTAATGGCGTGCCTTGACCCACTCTATGTTTTGCTTCGGTGCCGCCACAGTTGATGTTAACTGAGTGCACTCACATCTAGCGCATTAGCAGGAGGGATCTCTTTGGGATGGCAGTGTTGATGTGAAATCAACCCGACACGAGACAAATTTGCCAAACAAATGAATAAAGTGGCCAAACACTGCAGGACCAGATGAAAGCGGTGATGCTGCATAAATTCTGTTGCACTGATGTAAATTGTTTACACTCCTCAGGGCTTTATGGAAGGTGAAGCCATCGCTCATTGTTTTCACAGGGTCAGATTGATATTGATTGACTCTGACAGCTAGCATCATGATACTTAGCGGCAGTGACCATTTTCTGACTCTCCCTCTGTTGGCTCTTTTTGTCAGTCATCTTGCCGCCTTCCTTTTCTCCCTCCTTTTACTATCCTCATAACATATACTACATTTTTTATGTCCTTTTCACTCGTGGTCTTTTTCTCCTCGCAGGCCTCACATGGTGACAGAGTACATGGGCATCAGGAATGAGAGCTTTATGAAGATTGCTGCGGTGGGAACGTGGATGGGAGACTTTGTCACTGCTTGGATGGTGAGATTCCAACTCTTATGTCCTGAATAGGATTGCAGCGGAATGAGATTTTCACAGTATGATATCCGCCTTAAAAAACGACACGGTATCATGGTATGACAATTACTGTTATTATTATCAGTGACAATGGCCCTTGAAGGAATGAAAAAGGAAGTTAGTGTAAAGACAGGCAGTCGAGCTGGAAAGGAGATGCAAACATGCAGCTAAGATTCTCCTTCCTGTTGATTTTTTTCAGTACCATAGATCAGCAAATACACACGGTATAATAACCATTTTTGTACCACAATATCCTCATATAGACCCGGTGTCCTCATATGAAGGCATCACATTTTGACTTTGCAGCACCATGTAATTCATTCTGCTTAACTTGGACCTGTTGTCCTTGTTAATGGACAGTTTTTTTTGTCTTAGTGGTAGTAAGAGCACAATACACCAATACATGTTAAAACAAGATGGTAGCCATCTCTGCCAAGTCAGTCTGCAGCTGATCCCGACACAAAAGTGGACACAGTTCAAAACCCAATCACATTTTATGTGTTGTTTATTTGTGTTTTATAATGTTTGTAGTTTGATATTGCATAAAAACAGTGGGGTTAAGACAAAATCTGACTAATTTTAGCAACAGTAACAAGCTAAGACACTGTTAATTAGGAAGTATATGTTTGAGGACATTGGGACTTTTTATATTATCTTATATATTATATTATCTGACTTATTTATTATCATCTCGTCTCCAGACAAAAAGGACAAGTATGAAGCAAGGAAAATTCATATAGAGTTATAAAATGAACAAATCACAGTTACGTTTTTGCACAGCCATGTTCGGGCATTGAAATGAACAGTATTAGACTAAAACAGTGACCTCTAACCCATAGAGTTACAAAACGTTGAACAAATGTTGCATTATTTGTACTTTAGTTTTTGCACAACAGTGTTCGGACATTAAAATAAACAGTTTTATACTTTATTACACACTTGTGTGTTATTTGATAGAAAGCCAAATCCTTAAGTTTTCTTTCAGTAGCTGACAGTTTTTGATATCAGTCCTGGCAAATTTCCGTCAGTTCAATTAAATATTGATGTTGTGCATGTTAGCATGTTCACTTGCCAGATACTTGCGTACGAACATTCCAAAAGTGTTGCACAAAACGTCAGCATGTTCACATCCAGTAACATATATAGTTACAGTAGCTACTGGCTAACTTAAAACATGTTGAACTGCCAATCTTAGCACTTTAGCATGCTAATTATAGGTTCATGATTATGTTTTTAGCATTCAGCTCAAGACGCAGAGTGTGCATGTACATTATTATTTGAACGTTAAATACTGGATTTACCATTTTTACCACTTTTTGACTTGTAAATAGCGTTCAAGGAAACATCTAAAACATAACAATGAAAACTGAAAAATTTTCTAAAAGCTCCAATTTATTCGATCAGGTGCATTTACAGCTACAGTTGACACTACCTTTTATAAAAAAAAAAAAAAAAAAAAGTTTTTCTTGCATTTGCTGAAACTGTCACTATATCTTGACAGTAGTACCTGAGGTAGATAATCTGTGGAAAAAAATCATATTCCTTTACCACCATCTATTGCTTCTAATGGCATTTGTAAGAATTCCCCCCATCTGGATGAAAACAACTAATCAGAGCCTAGAGTCTCTAACACGCCACAAATCGTGTCAGTCACTGCCTGCAAGCTGCAGTCAAACTGTCAAACTTGGCAGCGCTGATCAAATATGAATCAAAATTCTGCCACTGCATTGCCTATTTCTCGCCTCAAATGTTTTCATAAACATATTTTAATTACTGTTTAGCTGTAAAATGAGGAATTTTGCTTTAGCCGGAGGTCGGTGCTTTGTTTTGGCTCGACTGATTTCAACAAAGTGGCCAGGTTCACAGACTTCTCTCATTTTCCAGCCAAACACTTCACTAAAATATGTTTCAGAAAACATTTGAGGCGAGAAACAGACAATGCAGTAACAGAGTCTTCATTCATATTTGATCAGCGCTGCTAAGTTTGACAGTTTGACCGCAGTTTGCAAAGTGAGTGACATGACTTACAGCTGTGTTAGAGACTCTTCGGCTCTGTTAGGTTGTTATCGTTCACGATTCTTGCAAATGCTATAGGAGCACTAGGAGGGGGCAGAGGAACAGGATTTCTTTCACAGATTATCCGTCTCATGCAGTGCTGTCAGAATATAGTGACAGTTTTATCAAATATGACAAAAACTTTTTAATATAAAAGTTACCAGCTGCAGCTTTAATAACATAGAAGTGCCCAAAGAAGCAAACAAACATGGGTTCCTCACATCACTAGAAACCTGTTATTGAAAGTTATGAAACCGAAGTTTAATGGAAATGATGCCGTATTGTCTACGCACAGAATTTAACCCTCACACGACCAACTCTGCAGCCACACAACCATCCTGAGTTGTCCGATGAGATGACCCACATATGTCGTAAACGTAAAAATCTTCCCATCACCACCATCCATCCCACACGACAGGATCACGGCGTTATGCTGATTAAATTAAAGCCAAGTCTGACAATGCAGAGCCAAGTCTGAGAGGATAAACTGGAGATTCGCTTTTAGGGCCAAAGTATAATGGATACACCCTTTTGAATTAGCTAATTAGCAGCAATGACAGTCATCTGGCATCATCTGCTCAGGCCAAACTTCAAATTATTTGCTCCACTGGTGGCAAACAAGCAGGAATAGCATTTATTCATCCATCATGTCTTGTGTGTAATAAGCATTACGGCCTGGCAGGGATACAAGCATGATTATGTTTAGCCATGTTGTAAGATCACAATTAATCTAGTAAGTATATTAAAATCATATAGCAGATGCACGGTGTAGCTGCTCCTCACACACTCATCTAATTTCTAGGTCAGGTGTATCCTCTCAGCCGTTGTAAGGCACACACTTAAAGCCCTCTGTGTCGATCCAGTTCAATCTGCTACCAAATCCTTGGAGTAACACGCAGTTTGATCTAAGAAGGGTCAGAGGAAACAATGAATGCACAGGGAGGGACAGAGTATGTTGGAGGAGAAACCTACCTCTGTTCATTTGTCAACATAAAGAGAGGAGGAGAGCTCCAGCGGGAGTGGACTACCTGTGGTGGGAGGAGTGGGGCTGAGACAACTTGACAAGCTCCCTCACCGGTCACATTAGTATTCTACAGTACATACTGCAGAGAAAGAGAGCGGGAGGAAGGAGAGACAGGAGAGGGGGAGGTGGGGAGAGAGGAGGGAGGTAAGGAGTAAGAAACAGAGGTGAAGGGGAAAGGGAAATGTAGAAGTCTGGTCAGAAGGGAGACGGGGGAATCAGCGAGTGAGAAGGTGAATCAGTGAGACAGAGGTGTGTGTGCGTGTGTGTCAGAGAGAAAGTTGTGCCAAGGCAAAGTGCTGATTCCAGAAATTACTCACAAGGTTTTTTTTTTTTTTTTTTTTTTTACATTCGATTAATTCAACAAGGCACTTTGAAGATGACCTCTGTGTCTCCTCCGACTTGCAGATTTACACTGTCTTCACCAGATGAGCAAACAGGAAGTGTCTGTTTTTGCAATGCTGCAACGGCAGGAACATGTCAGACGTTGCCTGATTCAGATCCATTTTTCAGCACGAGCTACAGTATCTGCAGTGAGGCGCTTTATTGACGAACTGACCTTGCCCCTGCAGTGGCTCCACTCAAAGAATATAGGGGAAATTTTTATACTCGTGTATAAAATCCTCTCTGGTGCAGCTCTGCATCCATGTGAGAAAATCCACTACTTATTATAAGTTATAGCAGTAAAACTGGCAATGTGAAAAGATTATCGTCAAGCGATACATATAGGCAGAAAGACAGATGCAGCCACACACATTAACAATTAAACAAGTCAATATTATTGAAGGTAATCACAGGCTCATTAGTGTTTAATCACAGATGAAGTGTTGTTCAATATCAATTATTCAGTATTTGAATGTAAATAGCCACATTTAGTCTCATGTGTATGTATAACCTGCGTTATTTAGAATAATTTATTGTTTGGCATATGTATAATTAAAACTGTATAATTAAAACTGGGGACCAGAAGGTGGCTTAATGAATTCCAGTAGGTGAACACTGGCACTGTTTTAACATGATTTTTTTTACATGTAGTACATGATCAAAGGTACGTGGACACCCACATCACACCCGAACATGTAATTCTAAAACCATTAGCACTTATACACCACTTAAACAGACTTTTCTCACATGATTTTGGGACCTAAATGCAGGGATTTGCTCCCACAGTAGTGAGAGTGGGCGTTGATGTTTGGCAAAAATGTCCGGCTCACAGTTGGCGTTCCAGTTTATCCCATTGGCTCTGAATAGCGTAAGGTCAGGAATCTGTGCAGGCCAGTCTACTTCTTCCAAACCAAACTTCAAAAACCATTTTTTGCACCTTGTGTTGTGCATGAGGCATTGAATTGTTTTCCCAGGAAACTGCTTCACCCAAATCTTTGCCTCAAAGTATAAACTCTGTATAAAGATGGACAACATGACAGCACCTCAAAAGGGAAGCCAAAATGTCACGATCGCCCCCTGGTGGCTGGCTGCAGTATAAGTCGTAAACTCCGCCCCCTCCTAAGATGTTTTCTATCATTTTAGGTAGTTGTTATCACGCTGACGTAAGTTTGATTATCATTGATGAATGCTATTGTAGGAGCAGAATACGCATGAATTATTTTTTGTGTATGATGTATATGTAGTATTGGGTGTCAGGTCTCACAGGGTAATTAGCGGTCATCACTATAAATGGTAGGAACCTTTCTTTGTCTGGTCAGGTGTTCCTCCCAGAAGGAAATACGGTTTTGGACCGCTGACGCAGCTTGTTGCTGCGAGAGTTGAATGGACGGAGTGTTCAACTGGCAAATTTGACTCAGACTCTATTTCATCAGACACGGTAACAATCAGTGCATCAATTAAGTCATCCCAGGTGCAGCATCTCTAGCTTAGCCTCTACAGCTATAAAAAGGGGGTTTGACATCATGATTGACAGCTTAGAATCGGATGGAGGGATGTATGGGCGGGAATCTGACACCGTGAGATTACTGCTACGCAAACTGTAGCTCCAAATGACGTCACAAGCGCAAGATGGCTGCAGCAGTAAGCGGGATATTTTGGCTTCGTTTTTGTACAGTGGGAGGAAGTGGAGACTTGTTGTCCATCTTTACATACAGTCATTGCCTTAAATTTGTAAGCGCGCCATAATTACAAATAAGATTGTATGCTCTAGCTTCAAGATTTCCCTACAAGCGAATTAAGGTGAATATACTTTATTGCATTCTTGCTGAGAACGAGAAGATTAATACCACTCTCATGTTTGTCCATAAAATGTGAAGCTACATCTAGGAGACGGCTACATGTAGCTTAGCTTAACTTTTTATCTGTCTTCATAGTATGTGAAGCTAAACTGAACCTGCTCTTCACCCTATAGCTTCATCAGTAATTACATCATTTTCTATGCGCTCTCTTTTCTGCAGGTGACAGATATGATGCTCCAGGATCAGCACTACCCAGACTGGGGCAAAGCAGCCAGGAGGTTCTGGAAACAAGGCAACAACAGGATCGTCCTCTTCTGGTATGTTGAGATAAACTGTCTGTGAGACCATGTGTATCTTTGTCTGCAAGCACTTGATAAGATTTCCTATCAGTTTATCTCTACCTACTAGCTTACTAAATGCATTATATATTCCTGCAAGGCTGGGGATGTGTGTGTGTGTGTGTGTGTGTGTGTGTGTGTGTGTTAGGTGGTCTCTCCAGCCCATTGCAGGGTTACACGCAGTCAATAGCCGTGTTAATCTTCCCTCACTCAGTGTCAGCACCTTTAATTAGAAGAACAGGGTGAAAATCAATGGACACAGCAAGGTCACGGGGCGAGCCATAGCCCTGCCTCTTACTCCTCGCACCACAAGCTGTGACCCTTAAATAACTGCTAAACAAATGCTGCAAACCATGTCTGATATGCCCATTACTAGACGGCCGAGCAGAAGCATCCGCTGTTTAAATGTCTTCCACCACCAGTGCACGGTCCCCGCGGTGTTCATTCACCAAAGTGTCTCAGCGCTGTCAGTCAAACACGACATGCAAACGCCTCTCCAGTGGTTCATTTTAGGGTCACAGTGAGAAGCGAAGGACATGCGAACAACAGGATATGCTCGAATCTGTTTGACATCTGTTTGATACGTACACAGGGAGGTCGGGACATGGACATCTTAAACATCAAAAGACAGTTTGGCTGCGGTGTTTAACATTTCTGTTCGCAGAATCAATTCACCTGCGATTAGAATGCAAGCAGCCGAATTGTTCTGGGACTTTTTCTGCAGCCCTTCGTTCTATTGACGGATGCCCCCCGACTCACGCTGTCACAATCAATGCCGGGTTTGACGAGCTTTGTTTGAAATTCAGAGCCTGAAATATGATTGATAAATGCGTTGCCGGGGTATATCTTTGTCAATAAGCGCTGAAGGATCGTGGCAAATTGTAAAAGGCGGTGCGAGAAATCGGCCACGGCTGAGGAGAAGGCTCCCACTGTGGAATAATAAAACCCCTCAAAATGTATCTCCCTAACAGTCGAGATGGGATATGAGCTGGCATTCGCTCTCTGCAATGCAGCCAGCCAATGTGTGGTGTGAGAATGCACACAACAGCATAGCAATCACTGGGTGACATTGAGACATAATGCACAGTGGAGAATACTACTAGCCTCTGTCATTGTGCCTCCCTTCAAATGGCTGCGAATTTTTCCCCCCCAGTAAACAGTGAATGCAGAATTACAACAGTGTGATGTGACATAAACAAATTCAGAGACTGTGAAAGATCGCAGGGAAAAAGAAACACGCATAGCAATCACAGCATGCAGGTAAATGAAATATTTTGGCTCATGTTAAATATGTAAATACATGGAAATATGTGTGCAGTAGGGTTTTGAATTGCGTTGTCTCTGCATCCATAAACAGACACAGTCCTGCTCTGTGCACATTCATCTTCCTGGGAGCTGTATCTGCTGCCATTTTTCAAATCTAGGTAAAATTGTTGTTCAATACATTATTGAGTCCATGAAAGGAGAGACTGAATTTATCTGATTTATCTTTTCTTGCGTTTGACGTGGGTGAGGAAGAGGAGCAGTTTGTCTTCCAAGATATACAATATTAAATGTGCACATTATCCAGTTTGAAACGGTGTTTAAACGCTTTTTCAAGGTCTTGTACTTTTTTAACGTGCGTCATTCATTGATTTATATCCCCTCCCTCCACTCCGTCCTTTTCCTTTCTCCTCTTCTGTCTTTCCCTCCTTTCTTCCCTTCCCTTTCCTCATCCCGTCTCCTCTGCTTCCTTCCTTTATATTTCTCTTTCCTCCTTTCATCTCCTCTTTGTTGCCTTGCTTTACTTTCCTCTCTTCCTACCTTCTTTTCCTCTCATCTCTTCATGCCTCCTTTCTTTCCATTCTTTCTTCTCTTTCCTTTTCCTTTCTTTATCTTCCCTCCTTTCATCCTCCTCATTTCTTCCTTTCCCTGCTCTCTCCTTTCCTATCCTACCTTTTTTCTCCTCTCTACGTCCTTTTCTTTCTTCTCCTCTCCTCTTTCCTTCTTCTCCTCTCCTCTTTCCTTCTTCTCCTCTCCCATCCTCTCCTTCCTTTTCATTCTTTTCCTCTTTTATATTTCCTTCCTCTCCACTCTCATCCTTTCTTTTTTCCTTTCCTTCATTTTCCTTCTTTCCTCTTCCTCTCCTTTCCCATGCTTTCTTTTTTCTCCTCTCTCCTTCCTTTTCATTCTTTCCTCCTCTCCTTTTCCTCTCCTCTCTTATCATTTCTTTTCTCTTCCTCTATCCTTCCATTTCCTTCTTTCCTCCTCCCCATTCTTTCTTTTTTCTTCTTTCTCTTTCCCTCCTCTCCTCTCCATCCTTCCTTCTTCCTTTTTTCTCCTCTTCTGCCCTTCTCTTCTTCCTTCTCATCTCTCATCCTTCCTTGTTCTCCTCCATTCTCCTTCCTTTTCCTTTTTTTCCCCTCTCCTCTCATTCTTTCCTCTCATCTCCCATCCTTCCTTTATTCTCTTTATCTTTTCTTTCTTTTCCTCCTCCTCTCCTCTCCCATCCTTCCTTTTTCATCTTTCTCCTCGTCTCTCTTCTTGCTCACCACTCCTCTCCTCTCCTCTTTCACTCCTCTCCCCTGCTTCCTCTCCTATCTTCTGTCTCTCCTCTCCCCTGCGTCCTCTCCTCTCCTCTTCTTCTCGTCTCCCTGCAGGACAGTGCTCATCTCTCTGACGTCGGTGGTGGTTCTCGTCATCAGCACCGACTGGATCAGCTGGGACAACCTGAACCGAGGCTTCCTGCCCAGCGACGAGGTCTCCAGAGCTTTCCTGGCCTCCTTCATTTTGGTCTTCGACCTTCTCATTGTCATGCAGGTAGACCGCTCCCCAGTGGCCAATTAAAAGAAGGGAGCTGGGATGTCTCTTGGCTTAGTCTGCTACCCATCTTGCCAGTTTCCCCCCTCCCTCCCTCCCTGTTCATCAATGGGGCACTGCGGCACAAAGCAGCGAGGGGGGTGTTTGATCACACTCAGTTGGCACGCACACACACACACACACACACATAAACACCCACAAATATATAGATATACAAACTGTTGTTTACTCCTTTGCATCGCCTCTCTTTCAGTCCCTCCATCCCTCTCTCCCAGACCTCAGCAATGAACTCACCCTTTCCTCTCCTCACTCCCCTGTGAGCCGAGTTTATTTTCTTTAATGATGACTCACAAGATTGGAGTTTTTCTCACTTTCTCTTTCCCTCCTCTTTTTTTTTTTTTTTCTCCCACCCAATGTCCTCCCTCCCACAGGAGAGTGTACATCAATAAAGCCTGTGTCAGTGGCTCATGAATATGCAAATGTGTTTGTCTGGGCAAAAAACCACATATCTGTGTATTGAGGAGAAAGAGAGTGGGAGAAGGCTTTTTTTTTTTTTTTTTAACGCCACTATCCAGGAGCCAAAACCGCAGGCCGATCATGTATGTGCTTTGACTGCGAGCCTAATTCAACACGGCTCCTCCAAATGCTTAATGAACATATTTCACAAGGCCTTGTTGGTGGGTATTAGAGCACACGTTGCAAGACTAATATTTGATATCCCCTAAATATACGTTTCTACTCTGTTGATTATGCTAATTACTGAGAGCCTGCAATTGCACGGGACAACATCTTCTAGTGTGTAACAAATACACCACCCCTCAGAAACCTGGCAAGGACACCACTATAATTCCCATGGTAATATATATTAGAACAACAGCATTAAAAGTGATTTCTAGACTTATTTATTGAAACAATTCATTATTTTGAGGAGGGCTTCTGGCTGCTCTGGACAGTAATTACTTCACACTGTGGTGTTTTTCTCATTCATTTACCCAATTATTGTGATTATGCAGATATATAGAAGCAGCTCAGCCGACAGAGTGTTTCCTCGTGAAGCTGCTGGCATCTCGCTGAGGCAAGCTGTATGAAAAAGCCACGGACCTGATATGGCATGATATTTTGACATCTCCGTTTGACTCCCAGAGATGGTCTGGACCCGCAACTCCCTCTCCGTCTAGCTCGGCGGTATATCATTTCCCACTCGCATGGATTTGTTTACGACGGGCCCTACTCATTTTCTGCACAGTGTACAGCAAGCACATTTACTACAGTTATTTATGGGTCGCCTGCACTGTTACACGGCCCGAGCACTGGTGGCCGTTGCTACGTTCCACCAGTCAGTAAAAATTCATCCACCACAGCCCTCCCAACAGCTTCATTCGCCTCCATCTTGGAGCACAGGATGTCATAGTTAATCTCTCACCTCCATGAGAAAAGATTGGTGTTGTTGTTCTCAAACTAATTAATACCCCTGTCTGGATTTGCCTCCAAGCTGGATATTTTTTTTTCCATCGTTTGGTGTATAATTGTGTTATTTCTCTGTATTTTCCCAGCTAAATTTCAGATTTCTCAGATTTCTACGTCCTTTGTGTATACACATTTACATACATGGATGATAAGCTCATACACCCAATCAGTTTACTCTCCCTATATGTGTCTTAGAGACTCATTATTTTGTGGGAGGGAGGTGCAAGGCTTAAATGCCGTGCCTGTTAGCGCTATAGCAACAGATACTGCAGATATGGAAGAGGAGTGGAGGACTTAATTAATATCCAGGGGGCCATCACCAAGCTGTTATGCTGTTCATAGATATTGGCATGGGAGACTCTGGATCACACGAGGATACAGTGAACGCAGACATGTGGTAATGTGATGAGGCAAGACGCTGTGTGCAAATAACGGGAACCGAGGGGGAAGTGTAGCTAATCTAAAAAAGAAAAAGGCTGAAATTACGTGTGCCTTTTTTTTCTCCTTCCTTTAATAGAGATGATAAAAGCTAATTTGTGAGAGGATTATGTCAGCTCAGCGGAAAGAAATGTTTCTAAAACATTTTAATTTTCTTCGCCATCAGTCTCTGTGTGATTTTCATTAGTTTCATCTGTGATTGTTATTTTAATTACACGCTTTTCATAATGCAGAGTAACTAAATAAAGTTTCTTTAGTTAATGTAGATTTTGGAGTGCATACAATATTATGTATTGCACTTCTGACAATAGCAGTTTATTAACTCTAAAATGAAGCAGTCATGGTATTTATGTCCAATAATAGACATTTGCATTTTTTATTAATGAAACATCAGACATCATGAAGTGAGTTACAGGCTTCAGAGAAGTTGAAAGTCAGTATTGTGGGAAACAATTTAAGACGGTACATGAATATTATTTATCTTAACACACACTACAGCAAAAACATCACTGTCCAGTAAAAAAATCCTGTATCTCCAAAATTTGGTGATATTTTAGATAGATTCTTCTACCTCTTAAAGGGACAGTCCATCCTTATCAATCTAGATTGTTTTGGTTTGAGTTGCCAAGCGTCTGTCTTCTCACCAATATAATGAAACTAGATGGCGTTTGGCTTGTGGTGCTCAAAGCGCCAAAAAATACATCTGAAACTCAAGAGCAATGTCTCTTTCATGAAATCATGATAATCCACAGACCTGATGTTGTGAGCAGTTTCATGTAGGAACTATTTTCTTTCTACCGAACTACACCCACCAACTATGTCACTGTGCAGAAGGTAGCGTGCATCTTCTCAGCAACGAAAGGCTTGTGCTTATGGCAGCCCAAGATGTAAACATTAATGGCGTCGTCCTCAGGTGAACTGTAATGTTAGCTAGCTCAGTGGTGCTAGGTGAGCTAAAAGTAGATGCATGCTTGCTTCTGTGCTCCGATACAGTTAGTGGGTGTAGTTCAGTAGAAAAAAAATAGTTAAGACGAAGTTTTCAGATTTTTTTTTTTTTTTAATTTGGTGTCATTATATTTTAGAGAAGGCAGATGTCTCTACACTTCATATCTCCAACACTAAAGGTAAGAGGAAAAATACATATTTTTGATTTTGGGGTCTGTCCCTTTAAGCTCAATAAAAAATTTAAAACATTTATTGAATATACTGGAAAAAAAAATACAAAGCTGATCATAGTGATGTTTTCTCAGCTCATGAAAAGTTGACGTTGTGGAGATACATGGTTGGTGCATGGTCACAGGACAGAGACATTTTAAGAAATGTCTCTGTCCTGTGGACCTCATGAAGAGTAGGGACTGCAACTGGAGGTTACATTTTGAGCTACACGCTCCTCCGTCTGATGTCTGATGAAGAGTTTGTAGCTAGAGACTTCACCTCACCTCATTGGTCATTTAATTAAATACTTACGGGAGCTGAGTCTAGTGTGCAGTCTCTATTTTTTGTCCCATGTTCAATTCAATTCATTTATAAAGCCCAGTATCACAAATCACAATTTGCCTCACAGGGCTTTACAGCATATGACATCGCTCTGTCCTTGGACCCTCACAGCGGATAAGGAAAAACTCCCCAAAAAAAAATAACGTAGAAACCTCAGGAAGTGCAACTAAGAAGGGATCTCTCTTCTAGTAAATGTACAGTGATCCATATGACAAAATGATACATAAAGAGAGACAGAGACAGAAAGTGAGAAAGAGAGAGATGCAGGGTAAACAGAAATGTATGATTTCTTGTCCAGCACCTCCTTTTTTATCATCTGGATGTGTGTGCTCTTCAAAACTTTTTGTAGTGACTGTTACAAGCCACCAACTCTAACCACACACTAGCGAAAAGAGCAAAGTGACACCACAGGGCATGGGCAGCTTCTAAATGTCAGTTTGGGGTGCCTGTTGATGTGTTTTGACATCCTGAAATCCCAATGCACATTAGTACACAGCAGAAGCCTGTAAACACACAGTGTAGTCTCCAGCCTACTGCAGCTGGCACCATGTTTGACCTCCAGTCAGTGCATGAAGAGACTCCACAGAGACTTAATATCAGCTAGTACGAGTAAGTTCAGTGCTCAACACCCGGTGAAGCACCTTACGTGGCTGACGCTTGTCACACAAATGTGGTTCAAATGTGTCGAGTTTTGTACAGCCAAGGCTACGTTATCACAAGATACATTTATCTGCCTGTGTGTGTGTGTGTGTGTGTGTGTGTTTGTGTATTTCAGGACTGGGAATTCCCTCACTTCATGGGTGACCTGGATATGAATCTACCAGGAATGTCAACAACGCATGTGAAGGTCAAGCTTCCTGTCTGCAAGAGCATCTTTAAAGAGGAGTACCACATTCATATCACAGGTACAGGCTGACACTAGCACAGCTGCTGCATACAAAGAACAGGGTCATCTCATTGTTGTGTCAATGAGCATGTGTGTCTGTAGCCTTACTAAATTGTTCTTAACCCTCATCCTACCAACATTTTTACTGTAACAGGACTACTGAACGGGGAAACAACCATCATAGCAAAATGTTGATTTATTTCTTCTCTAAACAATATTATTTATACAGTTAATGTTATTTGAAGGGATAAAACAAATTACTATTGCTATTTTAGGAAAGTTACAATTAATTTACATTCATGAAAATGTATGCTTTTCTTAAAAACAAACTGCAGCTTTGATCCTAAGTACAAAAACACATTAGTACTTAAAAGGTTATTTACCATCCTTTTATTCTGGTGCCATTCACTTTTCATTCATTTCAAGTAAAACAAATTGCATTATGTTTCCATGGTGAAGCATCATTTTGACCCCCATATAAAATAATAACTGAAATAAGCTCACAGTCATTCAAACTTCTTTTTCCTTCAAGACAAAAGACTTTGGTCTCAGAAGTTTTTACAGTTCTTCCTGTAAAAATAAAAGCTGAGTAAATGCAATTCAAATTTAGACTTTTTAATCAGTATTAATCAGTAAGAAACTCAATATTACTCCCAAAATGGGCAAAACAACTAAAATTACACAAAATTACCTCAATAAGACACAAAACTACCTTAAAGAGACACAAAGCAACCACAAAAATGGACAAAACAACTACAAAGAAACACAAAAAGATCATAAAGAGATGCAGTGTAACTGTAGAGAAACTAAAAAAAGTACAGAAATGGGCAAAACAAGCACAAAGTGACACAAAACAATGACAAAGAGACACAAAGCAACCAAAAAATGCACAAAATTACCTCAAAAAGACACAAACTACCTCAAAGAGACAAAAGTAACCGCAAATTACACCAAATGACTACAAAGACGCACAAAAAGACCATAAAGAGATCCAAAGTAACTGCAAAGAAACTCAAAGTAAACAAAAAAATAGGCAGAACGACCACAAAGACACACAAAAAAAACACAAATTACACAACATTACCTCAACAGGACACAAAATTACTTCACAGAGACATAAAAAGACCATAAGGAGATGCAAGCAAGTCAAAATAGCTACAAAAATGGACAAAACAAGCACAAGGTGACACAAAACAATTACAAAGAGACACAAAGCAACCAAAAAAATACACAAAATGACCTCAATAAGACACAAAGCAACCACAAAAATGGACAAAACAGCTACGTGACATAAAATGACATCAGAGAGACACAAAAAAACATAAAGAGATGCAAAGTTACTGCAGAGAAACTCAAAATTAGTACAAAAATGGGCAAAACAAGCACAAAGTGACACAAAACAATCAATAAATATACAAAATTACCTCAATAAAACACTGAATTACCTCAAATAGACCTTAACGACTCCAAAAAACAACAACAAACCACACAGAGACACAAAATGACGACAACTAGGCCCAAAATAACAACAGAAAGATGCAAAACCATCACAAAGTCTGTGTGTCTTGCTCCTATGTAGGAGAGGCGGTGGAGACCTTTGCCCAGGGGCCCATTGTCTCATAATCGACCCATGCTCATGGCACACTGACATGTGACAGGAGGAGCAAACATTTGCTACCTTCCTCTCTGTATATCTGAAAAAAAGGCAGCACCTTTTTCAAGTAGATTTTCCAGCAGAGTGTTGGACGTCCACAGCAGCTTTGAATTAATCAATTGAATTTGATAGTCCTTAAACATTTTATTATGACACTGTGTAATCTGTAATCTTTCTGACTTTGAACTTCATCTAACCTTAGAAAGAGCACTGCACGAGGAAATCTGTCTGCTCCATCTTTGTCTGTCTCCTTCAAAATGACTGACCTGAACTGAGTGCTCTTAGCTTAACCCTCAAGCACCTGTGAGATATGACAAAAAGTTTCCCTCTGGGGTCTGTGGGCACCACAGCTGGCAGGATGAGTCAAATAACAACCATATTCATAAACCGATTAAACAGCAGAAAGAAATCAAAATGTCCACCTGGGCGACATACTTCTACTTTGGCCTATTTCTCAATTGTGTAGCAAACACAAAACGTTCTCTCCCTGCTCCAGTTTTCCATTTTTCCTCCATGTGGGAGACAGTTTGATGGTTCAACCACAGCAGCCATTTATAATACATGTGTAGCTGATGTGGCACACAGGTGGCTCCACCGCTGCGCCTGTGTCTCCCGTTCCTCGTGTCCCTCCCTGCCGTGCGAGAAGCATCTCTCATCTTCTTTCACGTCTCCATGTCTCAATGTTAACAGCAAAGCGAGCGTATTTCCCCATTCGAAACCGTCCCATCCGGTTTCTCCATTTTGTTCCGCCGCGTGCACACGGCGACTCATAAAGAGAAGGCAAAACCAATGTTCCTGTGCTAAATGTTAAGCTGTTCAAACGCTCAGTGATTCGCGAAAGGTTGTTAACCCTAATGCATTGCATATCCATTAAGCATTATGGAAATGGCTCCGGCACGACGTGATTGGTTTAACTAAAAGCTTATTAACAGCATATCTCGGGGAGAGGAAGGGAGAGGTGTCACGTATACCCGGGGAGACATCTGCCTGCTATCAGTCAACCTGAGGAGATGGCTGTCTCATGGTAATGTAGTGATCTCGTTAGAAGATACTGTTGAGGAAGTAGCACCTACAAATGGATCTGTGTCTCAGAGCATGAGCTATATGCAGAGGGGGAGGGATTCCTGATAAATGAAGGTGACAGCATATCTATCTGTCTGACTCTGCCCTCTAAATCTTGTTTGGAGTAGGTTTGTGCTGTACATCAATCTGCCTGTCTGCTAAATTATCTGTACAGTGTGTGCATGTTTATTCCTTGCTTATCTGTCAAAGATAGCCTTGTTTGTGATCTAACAGAAGTCACGTGTCTCGTTACAGGTAAGTGGTTCAACTACGGTATCATCTTCCTCGTGCTGATTTTGGACCTGAACATGTGGAAGAACCAGATCTTCTACAAGCCCTATGAGTACGGCCAGTACGTCGGGCCCGGCGAGAAGATCTTCACAGTAGAGGAGCCAGAAACGCTCAGCTTCTTCAACCACAGCACTCTCACCTATGAGTGGCGCTCCACCAACATCGATCCCAACAGCAACGTCACCTACGTGCAGCGGGACATGTTCCTCCACAGCCGCTACACTGGCGCCAGCCTGGACGTCAAGTGCCTGGCTTTCATCCCGAGCCTGGCGGCGTTTGTACTCTTCGGGTTCTTCATCTGGTTGTTTGGGCGATTTCAGGACAGCGAGACCTTCACGGAAAACCAAGACAAGACGTATGAGAGGATAAAGAGGAAGTCGCCGTCGGAGTACAGCAAGGAGATGGGCGTGACACCAGAGGAGGTGCATGTTACCATGAGTGACAGCCTGAAACGAGCAGGGACGCCCATGCTTCTCTCAGTGGACGGGCCACACTTTGGAGCGACGCCCTCTACGAACTCGACTATTTCTATGGAAACCCAAGAGACACATCCGAGCATTGTGATTGACAGCGTAGAGCAGGAGGAACCAGCAGTCTCTTTTGATGTCCACAAGCTCTCTCCGTGACCTTATGAACTCCTGACACTTTGAAGTCTGTGACTGCAGGACAGGTTGAAAAGGAGAGCTTAAGATGCAGTTCGTCAAGCACTTCAACCGTTGCTTTTCTTCAGATAAAGCCAAGCTGCAACAGGAGTTGACCACAACTGCTTCTTCAGGAGAAGGACAAAGTGATGTTACAAGATCACTGGAGACAGTCCTGATGGCGACTGCAGTGGCGTTTGTTTGAATATATTTTTGTAAAACGATCTTTTTAAAAAGCCTCTAATACAGCACCGATTCTGATAACAAACGTCTTTTGACACAAAATGCAAACGCTACACTGACATGGTGCTCACTCGGATTTTGCATTTTCATAATTCAATTTTGTCACGGGAAACTATTTTGGTGCCTATATCAGAGGAGTATTTGTACAGTCGTGACACTGCAGTCAGGTGGATCACACCAGTGTTACAGCTACACTAGTGCCTTGATATTTCATATCTTTAAATACAGACAGAATCCTGTTCAGTCTATACTGCTACTATAGGCAACAAAATGGAAGATGTCCTAGTTACAGTTTGCTATATTAAAGGGACAATTCACCCCAAATCAAAAATACTTATTTTTCCTTGTACCTGCAATTTATTAACTTTTTTTAAAGTGCTAATTATGTCTGCAAAGGAAAACTATGTCAGCATCTGTTTGATCTAATAAGATGAAATTTATGTTTTTCTCATCTCACTTCAGTCTTTTGCAGCAAACTGTATATACTGGACTGAAAAAGAAATTTAATTTATTGCTCTAGCAAGCTACCAAAAGTTTAATTTGTATTTGTAATATTTATAATAAATATAACTACAAAAATTAATACCTTGCGTCTGTGCATCGATAAGGTATTGCCACACAAAAATATTGCTGTACTATGTTATGTTTATTTTCCCCTACTCCTGCTATTTATCCATTTACACTGTTTTGGTGTCAGTTGCTGAGTGTTGGAGACATCGGCCATACAGATGTCTGCCTTCTCTCCAATATAATGGAACTTGATGTCACTCAGCTTGTGGTGCTCAAAGCGCCAAAAAAATATATGTGAAAAACTCAATAGCAATGTCTGTGTTCTAGAAATCACGACCCAGTTCCTCAAGAGAATCCACAGACCTTGTTTTGAGCAGTTTCATACAGGAAGTATTTTCTCTCTACCAAACTATACCCTCCAATAGTATCACTGCGCAAAAGGAGGTGTGCATCTACCCATGGACGAGAGGCTTATGCTCAAGATTGCGCGACATGTTAACATTAACGTCATCTTCTAGTTCAGTGGTGCTAGGTGAGCTAGCAGTAGATGAATGTTTCCTTCTGCGCAGTGATATGGTTTACAGCTGTAGTTCCTACATGAAACTGCTCACAACAAGGTCTGTGGATATATTATAGACCAATATCTAATTATAGACCAATATCTAATCTTCCCTTTATGTCAAAGATCCTTGAGAAAGTAGTCGCAGACCAGCTGTGTGATTTTCTCCAGGATAATAATTTATTTGAGGAATTTCAGTCAGGATTTAGAGTGCATCATAGCACTGAGACAGCTCTAGTTAAAATTACAAATGACCTTCTGATTGCTTCAGACAAAGGACTCGTCTCTGTTCTTGTTTTATTAGATCTTAGTGCGGCGTTTGACACAATTGACCATCAAATTCTACTGCAGAGACTGGATCACTTAATTGGCCTAAAAGGTTCAGCACTAAGCTGGTTTAAATCTTATTTATCTGATCGTTTTCAATTTGTTGACGTTCGTAATGAATCATCCTTACGTACCAAAGTTTGTTTTGGAGTTCCGCAAGGTTCTGTGCTCGGACCAATCCTATTTACTCTATATATGCTTCCTTTAGGTAACATCATTAGAAATCACTCTATAAATTTCCATTGTTATGCGGATGATACACAGTTGTATTTATCGATGAAGCCTGAAGAAAGTAATCAATTAACTAAACTCCATAACTGCCTTAAAGACATAAAAAATTGGATGAGCACCAATTTCCTGATGTTAAATTCAGACAAAACTGAAGTTATTGTTCTTGGCCCCAAACAACTCAGAGACTCTTTATCTGATGACATAGTTTCTCCAGATGGCATTGCTCTGGCCTCTAGCACTACCGTAAGAAACCTCGGAGTAATATTTGATCAAGATTTGTCTTTTAATTCTCATTTAAAGCAAACCTCACGGACTGCATTTTTTCATCTGCGTAATATTGCGAAAATTAGGCCTATCCTGACCCGAAAAGATGCAGAAAAATTGGTCCACGCTTTTGTTACCTCAAGGCTGGATTACTGTAACTCTCTATTATCAGGTAGCTCTAGTAAGTCCTTAAAAACTCTCCAGCTAATTCAGAATGCAGCAGCTCGTGTACTAACAGGAACTAAGAAACGAGATCATATTTCTCCTGTTTTAGCTTCTCTGCACTGGCTCCCTGTAAAATCCAGAATTGAATTTAAAATCCTACTGTTAACTTATAAAGCTCTAAATGGTCAAGCTCCGTCATATCTTAGAGAGCTCATAGTGCCATATTATCCCACCAGAACACTGCGCTCTGAGAACGCAGGGTTACTCGTGGTCCCTAAAGTCTCCAAAAGCAGATCAGGAACCAGAGCCTTCAGCTATCAGGCTCCTCTCCTGTGGAATCATCTTCCTGTTACGGTCCGGGAGGCAGACACCGTCTCCACATTTAAGACTAGACTTAAGACTTTCCTCTTTGATAAAGCTTATAGTTAGGGCTGGCTCAGGCTTGCCCTGTACCAGCCCCTAGTTAGGCTGACTTAGGCCTAGTCTGCCGGAGGACCCCCCTATAATACACCGGGCTCCCTCTCTCTCCCTCTCTCTCTCTCTCTCTCTCTCTCTCTCTCACTCTCATCCTATTACTGCATCTTGCTAACTCGGCCATTCTGGATGTCACTAACTCGGCTTCTTCTCCGGAGCCTTTGTGCTCCACTGTCTCTCAGAATAACTCATACTGCAGCGGTGCCTGGACAGCGTGACGTGTGTGGTTGTGCTGCTGCCGTGGTCCTGCCAGATGCCTCCTGCTGCTGCTGCCATCATTAGTCATTAGTCATACTTCTACTGTTATTATACACATATGACTATTGTCACACAAGTATACTGTCAGATATTAATACATACTTTCAACATATTGTACCACAGTAGCCAGAACTATAACTATAATATTATTACTTTCATTAATGTTGTTGTAAGCTACTGTCATTACCTGCATCTCTCTCTCTCTCTGTCTCATTGTGTCATATGGATTACTGTTAATTTATTATGCTGATCTGTTCTGTACGACATCTATTGCACGTCTGTCCGTCCTGGAAGAGGGATCCCTCCTCAGTTGCTCTTCCTGAGGTTTCTACCGTTTTTTTTCCCCGTTAAAGGGGTTTTTTTTGGGGAGTTTTTCCTTATCCGCTGTGAGGGTCTTAAGGACAGAGGGATGTCATATGCTGTAAAGCCCTGTGAGGCAAATTGTGATTTGTGATATTGGGCTTTATAAATAAAATTGAATTGAATTGAATTGGATTATCTTGAGTAACCAGGTCATGATTTCTGAAGAGAGACATGATGTTAAGTTTTTCAAATGTATTTTTTTGGTGCGTCATGTACCACAAGCCGAGTACCATCTGGTCTCATTATGTTGGAGAGAAGGCAGACATCTCTACAGTCGATATCTCCAACACTCTGCAACTCACACCAAAACAATCTAGACTGATAAATAGCACCACAGGTAAGAGGAAATATATGTATTTTTGAATTTTGGGGTGAACTGTCCCTTTAATGTCTTATATATGCTTACATCTTATACAGACAAGTGTTACCTCATTTGATCCTAAGACTTAATCGTTTTTATTTATTCTCATGTGGCGTCAGTCTTACCCTCACTCCTTGTTGAAACAACATGATTATGAACATCAGTGTACTTTGATGACCTGTTCATATCCCCCTCACTTAATATTAGTTGCAGAGATAATAATTGCAATCAGCTAAGATCAAATATCTAACCAACAAGCCACCTCATGATTGCTTATGTGGCTGCTGCACCTGGACTGAATACCAACAGTGTTGGAAAGGTGGTTTTGCCCTTGGCATAAACATACCATTGAAGTGCAGGAGAGGCTTCTGCTCCAAAGCTCAGGGCTTCTTTATGTCTAGATAAACCTTAACAGTTTTAAAAGCAGTTTTGCAGTCATGGTAAATGCATGAAAAATTATTTATTTATTTGAAACATTATCCAAGTGTAAAAAAAAAAAACCCTGATGTGTGAACGCAACTAAAACCTGCAGCATTTATCTTTACACTGGCTTTGAAACTGTTCACTGCCCTTTTACATATTTTCCTATGCTACAAAGTCTCTTTAAAATACATATATTTGGAGTTTTTGGTCCAAAACAGTATGCCCTTCAGGGTTTTTTTTTCGGTCAAGTGCAAATACTAACTTTGACTTGCATCATATGAGTTTGGCATTTTTCAGTAAGTACATAAAATTTGACCAAAGATACCAAATAATTCAGTATTTTGAATAAATATTGCTGCATAAGTTGATATGCTAAAAGAGATATATAAATGACAGAATGGAATGATATTAAATGTTTTTGTATCACTCTGCATTATAATGGACTGAAATGTACTATAATGTCCTGGAAAATTATTTCCCAAAAAAGAGGGAACTATCAAAAATAACCACATCCTTTCCTCCCTAACAACTCAGTCGTGAGTTTTGTTCAACATTATTATGAGTAATGTAGCCCGGAGTGTGCCACCAGATTGGTTAAAGACTTCTGCAGTGTTTAATTATAATCAATTAATACATTTGATGAAAAGGCTGTTTTAAATCATTTAATTAAATTTGCTGGCATTTATATATTTATATACTTAAGTAAAAATAATGATGATTAAAAGATCATTATATTTACCAATTAATGATTCACATTTTTTTATTCTGTCTGTAAGTGATAAATTAAATTAAAACATGTCAAAATTTATTTAAAAAGGCTTTTATAGTTGACTTTTTATATTCCATTTACTTATGTGTCTGCCTAACATCCTGCATCTCATAATTCGTTTTTCTGCTGCTTTAACGTGCTCAAATTTAAAGATGTCTCTCTATAACTTTAAGATGTGTGAGCGCATCTTAAAGTAAAATTAGCCCATTTTCAGAATTCATATTTTTATTCCTATGGTCTGAGACATGTTCACAAAAATTTGTCTCGCACATCCAAAAACTAGAGTGCTACAACTCAAATGTGTGATATCATAGGGTATTAAGTCTGGAGCTGCTCCGTAGAAAATGAATTGGGAAAAATGTTATAGATGAGACTGAGAGCACCCAATGGGATAAACAGAATAAAGATCATTTGGGGTTCCCAAATCAGGCTTAATCAGGCTCCCATTCATTTTCTATGAAGCAGCTCCAGACTTTATACACTATGACATGACGAGTTTGAGAGAGAGTAGCACATGTTCACAGATATTGATTGAACTTTTCTGGGCCATGGAAATAACATATTGGAATTCTTAAGGGTATGATCACACATGAGTGAATTCAGGAGAGTGTCAATCAGCTGCCAATACAATAATGTGGGCAGTGCTGATTGTTACCATAGATATATAATAATAACTAGTCCATACCCATTGAGTGCACAGTTGCCCACGTACAGTTTCTCATGGTGTGTGTTTGGGATACAGGTCATAGAAAATTGCAGATTAAATAGTCAACTGAACCCATTAAGAAGAGCAATGTATTCAGACAGAGTTTTTGTGAATTTGATAGTACGATTGCTTTATTGAAAGTACAGTAGTACCATTGCCAACAGTGGGATAGTTAGTGGGCTAAAACTGTACATTAGTAGTTGAGGTAGCACGTTGAAAGGCAGATAGTTAAAGTCATTGCCATATAGAAGCTCAGTTTTAGTAAGTTTTCCAACTTTTGCCAAGAGGGAACTTTAGATATTGGTCCCTAGATTATGTTCATCGAGTTTCATGCAGATCGGTCAAACTTCCTAGGAAGAGATCGATTTTAAGTGTTTTTCAAAATATTCAAAATGGCGGAAAATCTATATAACCAGAAGTTATGGGTTCTTGAGGCGTGTGTGTTCCTCATGAGGAGAGGCATCTCTGTGCAAAGTTTCATGTCTCTCCGACATACGGGGCATGAGATATGCCCATTCAAAGTTTGCAATTTCAATCGTTTGCTATAGCGCCTCCCTTTGGCCAATTGATGTAATAATGCTTCATTCGCATCCTCCCATGACCCTCTACCACTGTGCCAAATTTCATTCTTTATATAGTAAAACTAGTTAATTTCAATGAAAACTACCTACCTGGT